ACAACAACAGCAGCCGAGTATGCAGCAAATGCGCAATGTGGAGATGCAGCATCCTCAGCAAGTACAGCCAAAGCAGGAAGTAGACGAGAGCGGCAGTAATGGCCTTGCAAGTCAGCAAAAGATTAAGCTCGGTTTGTTTCTACAGCACCTATGCATCGAGTCCATACTTGAATGTCTCCAACATCCTTTTTTTGTTGTAATTTTTTATTTCCGAAACTAATTTTGGGTGATATCCTTTTACACTAATCCAGCATTCCGGATAGTGACATCGGCATTGTTGTGGAGGTGCCATGGATACAGTTACTGAATGCATAGTTTTCGCTATAAATTGTTTTCGCCCTATGACATTTTTCATAGGACACAGTGGGTGGCAGCTTTGCCTTTCCGTTCTATGTATTGGCCTTTTTTTGAATTTTTTAAAAAAAAACACTCAAACATAGTACAGACGTTTTCTGTAGTAATATAAGCGTTTATTTTGCAGGAAATTTGCATTTCATTCAAGACCCAAACGACCCTCAGAAGTGGATTATTACTTCGGCAGCAGCTGATACTCCGACCGAAACAACCGCGCCAGCAGTATCGTCGTCTTATCAGCCGGGATATCGTTACAATCGACAGAATGAATTTGATGTTACACCAACTGCTTCTACGGTAGGCCAACAACTGGGATACAAGCAGCAAAAAACACCCAAAAGAACAGCCTGCAGCTGCCCTAACTGTCAAAGCAGTATCAATAACAAACTGTAAGTTGCTACATCTCTGCGCCTCATTTTTCAGTTATTTCTTTGAAGGGCACAACGAGGGAGCATCAGCTACAGTTTGGCTTCGGGATAAAGTTAGATATGCTAATAACTCAGACTGAGAATCCCATGCTTCTCAGAGGAAGCAGATGAAAGCAGAGCAGAGGCAAGTAGTCAAAACTCCACGAATTAGCGCAGGCTTGGTGCGTTGGTGCATCGATTCAAGCACTGATTTGAAAATGGAACTGATAACAGATTATAAAAATTTATGACAGATAGCCTAAGTATTCTAAATATCGTAATTAATCTAAAAAATTCCATGGTAATAAATAAATAACAGTAATGAAAAATAGAAAACGGAACCCTGAATTGGAATGTCTCGGTCCATTAAGTAGCAGTACGACAACTGGAACTTGTCAGTACGACGGCTATGATAAATAACAAGGATGTAAAGCATAAGAATATTATAAGAAAAGTTTAGGAAATATTTTTAAAGATAGGAACAGTACGACATAAAGATTATAACCTTACCACCAATATACTCACTTGATATTCGTCAGTTTTCTGGATAAAGTTTATGTTAGGTAAAAAAATTCGTAATATCAGTACCAGCGTACAATAATGCACTCTTTTCATCCTTTTTCGAATCACTTTTATAACGAAAAGCCTTCTTGAGCCAGTCTCACTGTTTCCTCAGCGATAAGAAATAAAAACTTTCAAATGCTGTTTGTGAGAGCTGAGATGCTCCGAGTGATTCGCTGCCCAGGTTTTCGATAGCTGTTTATTCCGGCAGTTATTTTGGAGGGATGCTGGCAAGCATTCTGACTCCCTGGAATGCGTAATAGCGGATCGGTGTGTCGAAAGGAGTTCTTACTGTTGTTTTTTACAGTGTTAAAAGTGGCGAGAAACAGCGTTTGCACATATGCCACCTTTGTCAAAAAACATATGGGAAGACATCACATTTACGCGCTCATCTGCGAGGACATGCGGGGCAAAAGCCGTTCGCATGCGACTGGGCTCACTGCCAGAAGAGGTTTACTCGCTCCGATGAATTACAGCGGCATCGCAGAACTCATACGGGTGAGTTTGATATAACGCTTGTTTTCTTTAAGCACTTATGTGGATAGCTGAAATCTGTTCGAAGGCAATGTGCGTTATTCTAAAGGCAGTGTTTTTATGCGTTTTGTGCTGTGTAACAGCAGTACAAAACGCATATTGTTACAGGGTTGTCTGTGTGTGTATGTGTGTGTGTGTGTGTGTGTGTGCGTGTGTGTGTATGTGTGTATGTGTGTGTGTGTGTGCATCTGTATGTGTGTATGTGTGTGTGTGTGTGCGTGTGTGTGTGTGTCC